TAAGTCCTAAGACAAAATCTACATGTAGGCTTAATTTTATTAATTTAATTTAAATTTATGAGAATAGTATAATTCTTTTACCTGGCCCTTTGAGAATATTGTTAGTGAGCTCTATTCTTTAAAAAAAAAAAAAAAGAATTAATTCAGTTTTATTCTGTAAGCATTTATTTTATTTAGGCATTATTAATTATCATTAGGGCAGGGCCATCCATTAATTTCATTAATGATGTCACCCTTTATTTAAATTTATGAGAATAGTATAATTCTTTTATCTGGCCTTTTGAGAATATTGTTAGTGAGCTTTATTCTTTAAAAAAAAAAAAAAAAGAATTAATTCAGTTTTATTCTGTAAGCATTTATTTTATTTAGGCATTATTAATTATCATTAGGGCAGGGCCATCCATTAATTTCATTAATGATGTCACCCTTCCAAGTACGGGAGGAGGTGTCATGTTTTTGTGATGAGGGGGAGGGGGATGTTAAAGCAATGTGAAGTCACATTGCAAGCAGAAACTTATTTGAAAAAAGTGCACTTAATAACACTAAATGACAGACATTTTTAACATTATTCTTTTATACAACAATTATAATTATTTTATTTTTAAACTACGATCACTGAGAGAATCAGTACAGGTATGCCAGGTCCGAAATGGGCTCTGATCAAGTTACATCCCGCCACGAAGGAAGAGAATCTGGGTGTAGTGACATTGATAGTCGTGAGAATTTATGTCTAAATATCTAGAGGCTGGAATGGCTGACAGGGGGCGGTGGTGATCTCAGTAAATGCTCTAGGGCAGGCATTCTTAATCATTTCACAGCACTGCATCCCCTTTCAACTTCAAAACATTTTCAGCAAACCCCCTAGCTCCTGCATAAATTATATTGTACTAAAATGATAAAAATTAAATAATTTAGTTATTTTCATTTTTTTTCTCTAATTAACTTTCTAGAAACAATATTAATATTACTAATACAAGTAATGGGCAAACGAAAATCACCTCAAAAATATTAAATGCTGCTAATCGAAAATGCATAAAAAAATTTTTTATTTTAAGGCAGCAACATCTAGCAATGGCAGCAAATGCCATTTTTTGGGTCTTTGGCACCTTAGGGGGTGCTTTGACCCCTAGTTAAGAATCATAGTTCTAGTTCTAGGGAAATGTTCTGACACAGGTGCAATTATACAATTTCCATTGGGGGTGAATTTTTTTAAGGGTTTATAAAGGTTAGTACTGAAAAGATGAAAAGAGGGACTTATTTATAGAAGCGGTAGCAGAGGTTTTTGACGTTATATTGGGGGGGGAGGTGTTCTAAGTTTTTGTGATGGGGGGGGGGGGGGAAAAATCGG